TTATATACTGTCTCATTAGCACAAAGTAATGTATTGAAGATATCAATTTTTCATACTGTATGGATAGGATTAATAGATTTCCACTCGTGCGTAGATGAAGCCGCACGCAATGAGAGCAGCGAGGCGGCTACGCAATGGCGAGGTGCGTAACTGGTGGCGTGCAGGCGTGGGCGGCGCTTTGTGCCTTTGAAGAGCGTTGGGGTTAGGTCATCTTGCGGCGCGGCGCGCGCACATGCAGACGGCCGCACACGCGGGGCGGGAAGGCGAGCGGCCGACAGCGGCCGGATGCGCGTCGCAATGGGCGGGCTGGGTGGCGGTCGGGCCATGGCTCGGCGGGTAGACGCACGGACGCATGGGTAGACGGTCGGACGGGTTAGCGGATGGGCGGGCGTGGCGGCGCGCGGTGCGGTGGTGTAAGGTGCAGAGGCGGCGGTGCGTGCGGGAGGGAGCAGGGGCGGGCGGCGCTTTGATCAGCGGCCGTCTCCGTTCAAGCTGCCGCGCGCCGCCCCCCTCCCCACCGCGCGACGTGCAGCGGCGCGGCGGCGGAGGCCTTGGGGCGGGCGCGGTGCGCGGGGCCGCCGCCTCTTGTGAGACACTCGATGCGCCTCAAAGGCTCGCGCGCTTCTGCCGCTTCGCCGCTCCACACGCAGCACCTTCCTTCCCTCCATACGAAGAACCTCACGGCGCCTCTAATCTGCCACGCCACCAGCAACTCAAACAAAACGAACCCACTTCAATGAAACAATAGTGCGCCTGCAAAAATGTCCAAATGTGGAAACGCCCAAAAACAAAAATGTAGATTATTTTTCTATAACCATTAAAATGAGAAGATGCGTACGCACTATGAAACAATAAATTAGTTACATTGTAATGCAATAGCATTACAGACCTTGATAAGCAAATCGGTAATACAATATTTTTAGAATTTTTTTTATTTGTTGAATGACTCAGGTTATAATTCTCAGGTTATAAAAAAAATCGTAAAACTGGATGTACCTATCACTTCCACTTTAGAGATAGAGTTGACAACGAAAACCATTTGTTCAGTGCGCTGCGACTGGCATTGCTACAACGACGTGCAATGCCAGATGTGTAACAACTGCAGACGTACACAACACATTTAATAAACAATGGAAGGAAAATAGAATTGTATAAAGGAGATCTTGCAGCGGAAATTTTGCGGGACAATGCGGCATTGAAGGAGAGAGCTGCAAGGAACACTTATTTCAATGAATATTTTAACGTGAAGGCACTTCGTAAGCGGACCCTTATATCTCCAACAAACTAGGCAGCCTTTGGCCAAGTGAGAGCTGTCGATAGTTTTCTTAGATTCTCAGGAGCTCGCAAACATACAAAGAGACAGTTCCAGTTTCGGCTGAAAACGCAAATACTTGTGTTATTGCAACTGTTCTCCTTCTGACCCCCGACTGCTTCTCAGACTGAGCGTCTCTGCCTTCGACGCAGCTGACGTCACGCGACCGCAAGGCTCCAAGGAATGGGGCGCCCGCCATTGCGTTATGGAGCAGCAACATTTTTGTTTTTATTTTTTTCATTTTCTTGGTATGTAAAGAACTGCATAAAGTGCTGTGAATATTATAAGCTACATAGAATGTTTTGGTTCAAATATTTAATTTATTGTAGTGTTATACAAAAGTATTTGTTCTTAAGAAATGTCAGAGATACATTTTGAGAAACATTTTGTGGTGGTTTTGTAGAGTAGCAGTTTCGGTGAGGAATATTAAACTAACTCATACGCTAAAATTGCTGAAAATGTTAGTCCGGCATTTGACGCTTCGTTCCAAATTATTCATTCAAGGCACATTCCCTTTCAAACAATACTGCCTCTTTCCAGTCCGTCGTTATTAATTACTGTCATCCAAAGATTCTAATTTATAGAAACTGCAGGGATTTTACTTTTTAAAATTTGAATCCAGAGCATTTGAACAATTGTTCGTTTCCAATGCCTCACGAAAACAAAGATATTGGAAGGATTCGAATCATTTCATTCTCTTCTTCCTTTATGGAATGTTAAACTAACGCTATCAGTACTACAATATCACAAAGAATGTGTCAGAATGCATAAGCTATTCATCAGGCATTCAGTAAGCAATAATAAATTAGCATACTGAAGTTAGGATAATTGATAAGTTTGGTGGTAAACAGATGATTCAAAGGAACTTAATTTTGCAAACTAAATATTAAATGATCATTTTTGAAATTATAACACTACTCAATTTATGTTATTAAAACATATTAGAAATATTCATAGGCAATGTATCTTTTTCCTTTTTTAACACAGAATCAATATAATCCCACAATCGTCTTAATATTCCTCAATATGATCACTCAAACATGATGTGGCGGATCGTGGATTTAAAAAAATCTTCATTACTATTGTATTTTGCCGGAGATATCCGCCAGATTTATTGTAAATGCTAAGTGTATGGGCAGCTCCAAAGACAGCTTTGCACCCACGAAACTGTTGATTACCATCTTTCGATGGAATATTTCTTAACTTGACTTTTATTCGGGCGAATACATTTCGATGTTTGACAAAGAATATTTACGGAAAAAGGAATTTCACGTAACTTTTGTCTATAAACAAAATATTTACAATGATAAAATATTATTTTATTACTCAAAATGTCATAAAGGTTCTTTCCAAATAAAATTCAATATTACAATGTCGGTTGAGAAGAGAACATACGTATGTTATTATCAATGTGAATGGTACGAGTAAATTACTGGACAAATTGGTATCTGTATGATTTTTTATGAAGTTAACGTCCATTATTTAATGGTTCAATAAACATTATATTTTTATTGGATTTTCTGCATTTTTTCGAAAATATTGACATTAATTTTAGTAGTTTTATTTAAAAGATAGAGTGCGAATTATTAAGATAATTCTTAATACTTTTCCTACTTTAATACTGTTACCATGGCAGTATGCCATGGTAAAGGGTGAAACCGTAAAAATGTTGGATAAAAATAAAAATCAAGTACGTTTGAGCAAACTCAAAGTCAAGCATCATAAGCGATATCTTTGTGACATCACGTGAAAGCCAGATAGTAATAGCAAGGGCTTCCTTAAATTCTCTACATTTTACATCCTTCAATTTTAAAACACATTCCTTAGTTTGTAATTATGTCACGTTTTCTCATTAACTTTAATGAATGGACAGCGAATCGGTTGTCTGATGTAGCGTGACACTGACAATGAGCCTGCGCGATCTAGTGGCGAACGGGCGAACCACATGCTTGTGCTGTGCTGCGCTCTCGGAGAAATTTCGTGATGCACGAGTTGAATTAGTGCCATTTGTGAGGTCTCGATTGTTTTGAAAAGAATGTAAATACCAAGTACATTCGACGCATGAATTACGTAATAGCATGGTTTAAAGACTCACGATATACATTGAACTATAAATACTGAAAAAAATGTGTAACAAGACTGATGTTTTAAACCACCAACCTTCATGAAACAAATGGATGTGGGAGATTAGCTAGCCCTAATTCCTTTACATAAAATGTTAAAAACACTTGCTGTAAAATAAACAACCAGAGTTTCGACCAACAATAATTCAGAACATCCATTATTAAAAAAATAGACCCCTGTCAAAAAGAAGAGGCAATTTATTTTACCTTCAGACATTAACTTATAAAAGCCTACTGACATGAAAAAATAAGTCACCAAACACAAATAAATCACCAAAAATCTAGTGAGGCGAATACTCCCATTAATAATATATGGAGGTTTAAAAAGTGAAGAACTAAATGTCATGGTTAGATCTTGCAGGAGAATGCGAAATACGGCAGTCCTTATGTGTCGCCTTTCCCACGGCGCAATTTTTACACATGTAAAAACAATTGTGCCTTTGGAGGACGAGCAACAAGCTGGTTATGCTTCATATTGTTTATTAGGGAGCGAAAGTGTGGAAGACATACGCCCCATATTGCCGCGTCGCCGTAAACGTCACCATTGTGATTAAAAGTGGCGTTCAATGCAGGTGCTTTTGGACTTCGCATATTGTTGGTGGTACGTGAAAATCAATTAGTTATTGCGGGTTGTGACAAAGTGTTGCACATTGGTCTAGCAACTCGACCACTCGCGACTGGGCGAGTAGTTGCTCGCTATTCGCCGATAGTGTGGAGCCGCCTTCGTGTTCGGTTCCGATTGTGAAACTCCTAGATCACTTCCGGAGGCGGTTGGGGGTTCATCTCAAATCTTATGGAGTGATTTCATTTTCTGTAAATACGAGACCGCTGCGTGGCCTTCCATCCTAAACAGCTTCTACTTTACCCTCCCCGCCCGCGGATGTACAAGTGCACCATTGGGCTAGAATGCGGGTACATCGGAACGCGCGGCGAACCGTACCCAGAACTTGAGTGGGCCGTCTCGTCATCTCGAAGCTCAACCAGCTGCCAGTTTTGCGCCACTCATTACGCTGGGACCAAATCAAATCCTTTCACAATTCCCATGAGTGATGTATTGTCGAGCAGTTCCACGACAGAGCCAAGGGCCCAGTTGGGGGCACATAGCCTCCAAACCGTCTCTTCATTGCACTTAATTTGGGCACCTGACAGGGAGATTCCAGATCCTCGTCAGGACTTCGATACGAGGGGGCACAACAGAAGGCCGTTATCCCACTCCCCCCGAGGGATAATTTCCTCTCGCAATGCCTTATAATTGCCTTGAATTGAAATCTACTGACATAGAGATTGCTTACTAATTGCTGAGTGCTCAACATTCGGTGCTCGCCCCACCCGCCGCGTGTGTGGGCATATTGTGCACACTCGGAGATCGCGACAATTCGCAGAGAACCTCAGGTACTCGCGATTGGGCGAGAAGTCACTCGCTAATCGCTCATGTCGAATGTGTAGCTCCGCGCATTTGTTTGGTGCCGCCTGTGAAGCCGCAGTCTCCGTCCAGAAGCGCTTGAGGTGCTCGCTTGAAAGCTATTGCTCTGTTCCGTGGGTGAGCCGTGTGTGTGCGCTTGCAGATGTCGGCGCTGGTGCCGCTGCTGGCGGCGGGGTGCGGCGGCGTGGGCGGCGGCGCGGGAGGGCCGTCCGCGCGCCGCCTGCTGCGCATCTTCCTGTGCGCGGCGTTCGCGCCGCTGTGCACGGCCAACGTGGCGCGGCCCGTGCCGGCGTGCCGGGGCCTGTGCGAGGCCGTGGCGCAGCAGTGCGCGGCCGGCGCGCGCGCGCTCTCGCTCAACTGCGCTGCGCCAGCCGGCGCTCAACTGCTCGCGCTCTCCTCGGCAGCCGCAGGACGCGCTCTGCATGCAGGTACGGCCCTCCCCGACCCGGCGCGCCCCCCCATCCTCTCCGCCGCCTACCAAGCCACGCGCGCCCGTGTGGCCGCAGGCGCCGCCGGAGCCCGCGCCCGGCCTCGGCGCCGCCCGAGGCCCTCGGCCGACCGCCGCGCCGTAGCGTCGCCGGCTCAGTCGCCTGCGCCCGCCGCCTGCCCGGCCGCCTTCGCGCGCGTGCGCCGCCGCCCCGACGGGCTGGGCTGCGCGCCGCGCTGCGGCCGCGACGCCTTCTACCGCCCCGAGGACAAGCGCTTCGCCGAGACGTGGATGACCGGCTGGGCGTGGCTGTGCTTCCTCTCCACGCTCTTCACGCTGCTCACCTTCTGGGTGGAGCCCGCGCGCTTCAGGTACCTCTCCCGCCTTTCGGCACCAACTGCCTGGGCTGCTCTAACATTGCATGCCCACTCACGGTCTCTTCTCAGTTCACATCATTTCTACATACCTCTTGTCCATATCTGTCTACTATGCAAAGAGTGAATGTCAATATTAGACGGATAAAACTTTTTTCCAGTAAAGTAAACAATGTCGCTCCATAAGTAATTACTTTACACACATTCAAGATTGATATTCTCGAAACTAGGAATTCTGAATACTGTGTGCAGCAAGCAATTGATATTCTGTGGATAGAGCAACTTGGTAAGCAATCGTAAGACAAGTGAAATCGTAGGATTTAAGGGCAATGTCCCACTAATGAATGTCCTTTGTTCCACCGTAAATCGCTTGAAAGGCAGTCCCGGAGGTCCTGGGAGTGCCCCGGGAGGCAGCGTGCGACCGAGTGTGTGTGTGTGTGCGCGCAGGTACCCGGAGCGGCCGGTGGTGTTCCTGGCGCTGAGCTACAACCTGCTGGCGCTGGCGTTCGTGGCGCGGGGCGCGCTGGGCGCCGCGGCGCTGTCGTGCGTCGCGCCCTCCGACGGCGCCGCGCCGCCGCACCTCGCGCAGGACGGACTCGACAGCGGCGCCTGCACGCTCTCCTTCCTCGCGCTCTACTACTTCGGGTCAGTCGCGCGCCCTCTCGGCCGCTGCCGCTCCTTTTGCTGCTGCCTTTTGAACCTGCAAACTCCCAAGTGCATTGGCTCGTACAGACGAGCGTGATCATTCCTTCTGAAACACCTTATTGTTCAATTAACGGCCCTTCTTCAAGCACGTATGTAATCTAATTGCGACAAAATGTAATATAAATAAAATAACAGCTCGAAGTGCCGATAGCTCGAACAGTTAAGAAGGACTTTTTAGTGAGTTTTGGCAGGGCAAAGAATTTCAGCAATCGCCAGCAAATATTGATATTCTTCTTGGGCGCATTTCGAGTTCGCATCTCTTTTCGGCATCTGCCCATGCTGTACGCTTCACCGTACAAAACCTTTTGTCCAGAGTAGCGTACGGGAATCTGTCAACCAGTCTGTATACTTTGAGCCACTTCTCACGCTCAAAGGCAGAAATCGCTGTCGATGTCTGTAATTGGATTGCTGCAAAAATGGAAGGTTTTGCGTGGCCTAGCGTCCAACCCTCGACAGCAATCTTGATATTCTGCGTACAGACACAAAAGTGATGCGAACTTCGAACTGCGCCTAAGCAGAAGATCAATATTACTGGCGATTGCTAACGCTTTGCCGAACTAACACCCCTTCAAGTGATCTGGGCTGTCCGGGTGACATGGCGCCAGAGCACTACAGCCCTCAAGAAGACCCTGACATGTTGGTCGAAACGTCCGCACCTCAGCCTTCGATGCGACGTCACCCGGACAGCCCAGATCATGACTCTGGCCGCGGAATCGATATCACATAACTCGAGTCACTCGATATAATATATGAGATACGGCATCATTTAACTCCCTGAAGCCCCTCCCGATAGCTGTAACAGTCGACCACTTCCTCCGAATTCCTTGGAACTGAAACTCGTGAATGTATGTCAAGTGATGAATTTGGCGTGTGCAGGCTGGCGTCGGGCGTGTGGTGGCTGGTGCTGTGCGCCTGCTGGTTCCTGTCCGCCGCCAAGCAGTGGTCGTGCGAGGCGCTGCAGGGGCTCTCCACCTACTTCCACGTGGCGGCCTGGGCCACGCCGGCCATCCTGGGCCTGTCGGCGCTCGTCATGCACCACGTGGCCGCCGACGAACTCACGGGCCTCTGCCAGGTGAGCAGCCACAGCGCTTCCCTAGCCCTCACCAGATGGGAAATTAACCATTCCTGACAATGGCTTGCTTTAAGCACCGAACGTCAAAACGTACTACCATTTTATAGCTCCCATTAGATTAGTACGTAATTAAGTGTTCGCAGATTGTATGCACCAACTAATCAGCACTGTAAATTGAGCTTCATTTCGTCTTCAAAGAACGGGAACTGAGTATAAAGTGGCATTTCTGTAAGTTCCAATCAACTTAGGACAGTCCTTTCCCCTTTGGAGGATTCTCGATGTTCACGAGGTTGGACTCAGGTCCTTCGTCACCTCGGTCAGAAAATCTCACTTGTAAAAATCCCCGCCCTTGCAATATAAATTACTATTTTGCTGCATTCTCTTGAGTACGTGAAGGTATTTCTGTGTCCTGTCTGTGACTATCTTGAGTCTTCTCTCTTTTAAATCAATATTCCTCAAAGCAAATCCTCCGACCTGCCTCTGCCGCGTGTGTGGCTGGTGGCCGGGCTGACGGTGCGCGGGGGCGCGGGGGCGCGCGTGCGCAGGTGTCGGAGTCGGCGGTGGGCGTGCTGGTGGTGCTGCCGCAGGGCGCGCTGCTGGTGTCGGGCTGCGTGCTGGCGGCGCTGGGCGGCGCGTCGCTGGTGCGCGTGCGCGGGGCCGTGCGCGCCGCCGGCCGCCCCACGGCCAAGCTCGAGCGCCTCATGACGCGCCTGGGCGTGTTCGCCGCGCTCTACGCCGTGCCCGTGGGCGGCGCGCTGGCGTGCGCGCTGTACGAGGCGTGGCACCGGCCGCGCTGGCGCAGCCTGGCGCTGCTCGCCGCGCTCGACTGCCAGCTGGCGCAGGCCAGCGCCTGCGCGCCCGCGCACCACAGCGCCGGCGTCGAGGTGGCGCTGCTGCGCCTCTTCCTGTCGCTCGTCGTGGGCGTCACCTCGGGCATGTGGGTGTGGTCGGGCAAGACGTGCCGCGCGTGGAGCCGCCTCTTCACCGCGCCGCGCAAGCCGCGCCCGCCCGCCATCGCCCACCAACACGCGCCCCTGCACGTCTCCAGGGTGTGACCCCCTGCACGGGGCGGTGGGGCCAACCAGCTGCGCGTCTTTCACTCTGAGCTCGCACGCCGCGTCACGCACCTGCTCGGCTGCCGCCGCCGCCACGTTCTCTGATTGGAACTTCACGAGTCTCATCTCGGGCGGTGCTGCAAGTGTTGCGCGAGTGTTGTGTTTGCTACCCATGCAAAGGTTATAGGTGGCGACTGGGGAGTGGGTCTGCTCTCAGAGTGAACGTACTTGGGCAGGGGTGAGCAGTCACTTGCGGTGACGACTGACCGAATCCCCTAGAAACTCCGAAGGACAAACAGTGCAAAAAGTGCGAAAAAGCCTCTCATCAGAAGGAATTCGTTCCAGACTAAAAGTGCTTCCAGAGTGTGCGTATTTCCACCGGCAAAGCCCGCCGCTAACCTAAATTCTGAACTCTGAAGAGTCCGTAATAAGTGAAATAGGAATCTCGAACGAGAAGTGAACTCGATGTAGCCACGAATCCTTTCTGTGCAGCCACTCCCGGTGCCGAGTGTTCCTGTTTTGTGTTGCTTAGCTGCCGCTGCGTTCCAGGCACCGCAGTGGCTTTCGTCGCTGCGAGGGTGGGCGAGCGGGCGCCTGGCGGCCAGCCCGGGCCCACGCCGCTCGAGCAGCGAGGCTGAACCCCGGGAGGCAGGTGCCTTAGCGAAGTCTTATTGGGAGCCTCGACTGCGGACTGTGATATTACGACTGCAAGCGAATTCGCGGGAATATTATCACGTGTAGAAAGAACCTAGTTTTAAAATTTGAGACTTATTTCTCGCACTTCTTATGCTCTCTTTCTTTAAACAATTAACATTTCACGCTGTTTTGGCACAAAATAAAATCAATGAAAAATAAAAAGCATTCAATGTGTGAATGGCTGCTGGGACATCTGTTATTGATATTTATCGCGGCTCCACACATGCGGCATTCGGCGAATCCCGAGCAACACCTCCCGAGTAGTGTGGACGGGTTGCTCGCTATTCGCCGAGCGCCGAACGTTCGGTATTCGGCCTCCCCACGGCGTGTCGGTCTTTAGGACACATCAAAGGGAGCGACCATTCGCCGAACACATCAGCCGTTTGGGATTGGGTGAGCAGTAGCTCGCTGTTCGGCGAATGCCGAATGTTTGGAGCCGCCATAAGGGCGCGGTACAGTCCTTCCTAAATCACAGACACACGTGCTATTTTGTTGTAAGATTATCTTCTTCTGGGTTTATTCATCACCACGAACACTTCTTATACTGCGTTTACACACCACTGACCTATACTCTTCTTAGATACATCTTATTTTTGTGAATCTCATTCGAAAGCAGGCATCCTTACTTAACTATACGTAAGTATTTTGAGCATAATAACCAACTTTGGCTCTCTAAAACGTTGGTAATTGAAAATGAACTAAAATGTAATTTTATATATTGCATTTGTTTTTGAGTTTACATAATAGAGAAAGTTTTCAAAATTCAATATTGTATTTTTGTAAAAATAGTACTGATTTATAAACATGTTTTTACAAAACGTATTAACTATAAGATAATTTATTTTCATTTTAATAAATTCAAAATGTACATACATAACAGAAATATTCTGTCAATATGTAAAAATGTGAAGAAAATAATATTTATAAACCGACTTAAAAATATAACACTTTGACAAATATAAGCATTATACTATTCACTGAAATTCAAACATTTAAGAATGATGTACAGATGATACCTTCTATAATAATTGAGAACCATGTAAAGCAAGGTGTACAAGTTACTCAATAAGAAGCTATAATTTAATTAATGAATGTCTTGAGATATTGTCGGTCATATTCCATCCAAGCATCAATGCAAAGAGATAAACGATATTCACTTGTGCCTACATAATGAAATTTAATACTCAGCTACAACTTTTCTGGGAGCAGCTATTCATTTTGTCTTGTGAACACTTTTACTGACAAATGGAGTGCCTTTGCGAAAGAGTACACTATTTTGGAATATTTATATACCAGGTAATGAAGAAACTTTTTGTAATGATTGTTTAGGGAATATTTCCTGTTGTAACAAAACCAAGTTGCTAAGTCCCAACAAAGTCAACAAGGTACAAAGCCAAGTATGTATTGTGCTCTGGTTAATTTGTCTCATACGTGGGTATTTTGCAATCGTCTCCTTTATCAGTGAACACGTGAGTTTTTGTTTGCAAAATGAGATAAGGTGAGTAATAGACTCGTGATTACCTGAGGCTTCGAATTAACCCTAACAGTTGTCAGATAAAATAAAAAGAACATTGAAAAACTAGACATAGAAAGCAACGAAAACTCTTGAGTCCATTTTTCAATCCACCTTATAATTGGCTTTAACCTGATGTGGCTTTTCACATGTAAATTAAATAAAAACTCTCTTGTTTTAAATAAATATCAATATTAATGTACAAACCCTCGGTGTTCTGGGGGGGGGGCTTACTGGCCAATTAGGAATAATTAAACCAAAAAGAATATTTTAAGTATTTGCATGCGAGCTACACGACGCCCTTACCGCTGCTACCAACTATCTAAATACAATAATCATCGGAACCACTCGTTAAAGATTGTTTGCTGCCCTTCATTACCAACTTCAACAAACGAAGTCACTCATTCACTTATTTTGTGTTAATTCGTACAGTATACATAATCTTTTGTAAACATTAAAAATGCAAGTTTCACCTCGTAATTTACGATCCTTTACCAAATTAACTCCGGATGATATGAGTTATGCGACGACCCCAAACCTCGGGTGATTGCAAGTCTTGTTTATTGGCATAAAGTGTTTTAAAAGTTCTTCTTTCATAGTACACTATATCAAGATTAAAATAATGTTAATGAATGTTGTAGTCACAACCAGCCCATGTTGTTCAGAAAGTATTATTCTTATTTAAAGATCCATTTACCAACAGTTTATTTACGAAATTTAGACCAAATTATATTCATTAACTAAGTTTTGCTGCAATTATTCACCATGCAGGTTTTCATTGATAAATGAAACTATTCGACGGTCGTATACTCGTTTTTGGTGTTTAACAACAATCGACGGAAATGTTATGGATAATTTGTTAATGAATATTCAACCAAAAATATTCTACCCATTATATTTATGAAGTACCAATCAAGTGAGGTGATTGGTATTGAGACATTTATTATGGTCAAGCAACTACAATATTCATGCATATTCGTAAAAGAAATTGGTTAAATAAATGCACCTGTTGGTGTGTCTTGTACATCATTTTACTCTTCCAGAATATAACTGTATAGGTCAAATAAGTGCTATTTTGTGACTTGTATATACAACTTCCAGAATATTGGATATTGAGATGATTCTCACTAAATCAGTATTGCATTTTCATGCTTGTATTTCTAACATATGTGAATTTTGTAAATATTATTAACAGTATTTTTGTAAGAAGAAATGGAATTTTATAGATTGTGATAATAAATTTTTTCATTCACATAAAAAAACGATTGTTATGTTCATTTTGTGTTAACATGTTAAATGTAATTAATCATAAGCAATACCGCGAGTGGCTTGGAAATTAACAGCGAATTCTTAATTTCCAAACTACGAGCGGATAAATATATTAATAAAATCAAATTAAACTATTGAAATAACGATTAAAATGGGAAATTTCCATTTAATGTCATTCAGAAAGAAGTAATGTGAGGAGTTAGTACCACTACTTCCTCAAATATTCTGTGCAAGATATTTAGAAAATGAATTCTATTAGTTTTCGTTCATATTATGTAATATTAATAAAACCTACTTAGGAATTACAAGAAACAGATATTAGAGTAATAAAGGAACTAGTGGAAACCTGTCAAAATTTGACGGTAAAATGACTGAAGAAAAATTGATGTGACAAATGTGTAAATGCAAGTGGAGAATTTTTAATTTGAAAATTATAAACAGCAAACGGCCCCTCACATTGCTCATAAACAGCGTGTTTCTTTCCTTGAGGCGGTCCGGAGTTTAATTCCCGGCTGGGGCAGAAATGAAGTTGTAGCTAACTAATCCAGATCGTCTTAGTTCCTATAGCTGGGTGACGAAAGGAAGCTCTTGCAGGCCCAATAAAGCAGGTACGGCGAAGGGAAGAGGTGTTGTTTGCGACATGTCGCCCTTATCTCCAGGCGAGGATTAAAAACACAAACAGGGCCCTGGCCTGGAATCACCGCTAGCTGGCGAAAGAGGGATTCATCTGACCCTATGGCAAGTATATAAACAGTAAACAGCGCAACGAAGGGCGAAATTTGGGTCTTGCTCTAGTTTCTCTGCAATCTCTTCTATTATTTTTCGCGCCGGCCAGGCAGACTTTTCTTACGTTCTTTAGGACCTTGTGGGTGTCGATTGCTGAACATTGCGTTTTGCAGAGAATGTAAACACTGTTCGTCTGCAAACGCCTCAAATACGTGTGAATTTCCTTTAGATGATGTGTGCAACGTGAAGCCAGAGGAGCGGACGTAGACCCTTCCCAAGCGAGGAAGCAGCTTCGACGTAACGGCAGACCGCGTAGCATGATGTTAGCACGAGTAGTGAAACCTTCAGTTGCATGTTAACAACGAAGAAAATGAAAACGTCTTTTGTATTGCACTGCCAACATCAGTTCTTTACAATTATATCAATGTGATTGTGTACGTAAATTTGAGTACAATTCAGTGAGATGTGTATAGTACATTTTTCACAGTGCCATGACTGAACAATAGTTTCCTTATTTGTCGTCTGGCATTGTTTAGCACTGGCAGAAAATCTAACAGATGGGTGACAAAATAACCACGACAAGGAGACTAAGAAACACGCAATTTATTGTCGATAAAGCGACTGACATTCAGAATGAATACCTTTTCATTTTCTAAGAAACGCCTAAATTTTACGTCAAATTAATTATAAACCTGCAGTGCTACATTGACCTCTGTGTAATAAAAATTACATGGAATTTTATATCACGATTGAAAATAATTTTTATAATAATTTTCTCAAATAAAGTGCTTCAATTAGCCGTGCGCGTCATCAGCTAAGATCATTAGTCCCGTTAGTGTAGTTGTGCATGCTTTTATCGCGGGAGGTGGCAGTTATCTTTCCCCGCTGGATGGCGAGATCCGGCGCCAACCTACCGGGGTTTCCCCCAACTAGAAATCTCCCACCAGCGGGGCACCGCCTCATCTGGAACAAGCGCTCAGTGGCCAGAAGAGGGAGCGTTTTTTAATAGAGCTCTAAGTCAAGAGGGGAGGTGTTTCTATTTTGTACTGCCCTCTTCATGAGTTCCTTTCAACTAAATCAACACATCAAGAGAGGTTTTGATGCGTCCGATCTTGCGCAGAACAGCAGAAATGTCAGAACGTGCCCTGGCGAGAAGCCCTTTGAATGGACAAACCGAAATCAAAAGTCAAACTTTCTTGTATTATCAATTGCGTGTAGTGATTCCGGACGCCTCAACTGCTAAGGTCAATTGTACAGTATGTAGAGTATGTATTTTACCGCGGAAGGTCGCGGTGATATTTCTCCGCTGAATGGCGAGAACCAGCGGCGCCGGCTTACAGTCGGCTAGAAGCGTTTTCCCCAACCAGAAATCTCCCACGTGCACCGGCGGAGCACCGTGCTAAACGGGACAGGCTCTAAGCACCCGTCCGGCCTCCCAGAATGCGTTCTAGTGTAGTGCATGCTGAGTGTAAGTATGGGTGAGGGTAGGACAAGCAAGTGGAAGAATGATCACGCACGGTCCGGCCCATGTGGTAGGGCACTGCTCTGGCATTTGTCTGATGTTGTTCGGAATAAACACAGAAAACTATTGATCTGAGTATCCGACCACTATAATTCTTCTCCACCTTCTAGGGGCTGAATTCGACCTAGCTTTGTAACTAATGTCGAACATCCTGTCACCGTCGGCTCTCAAACCTTAGGACCTGAAGATCAGACACTGCAGTGACATCAATTGATGAAATTAATTCCAAATGAAAGGCCGCGAAAATTGTCGAATTGACTTCTGGAAAGAGCCGTGAAAAGCGTAAATATCTAAGAAAAGATCACGAGAATAATCGAAAAGTATTGTGAAAAAGTACACGGGTGATGATGGGGACTAGCATTCGACTTTTTCTTCGACAAAAAAATCTCAGGCAAAAGGCACCGGGCTCGACCCTTCTTACGCACTTAATACACTAATGAGCGCATTCAGTGCGTTAGAGTCTGTGCCACGAGTGCCCACTGACGTGGCGTTTCTGTTAAGAAAGACTATGTCCCTCAAGTGTAACGCCATGTAAAAAGTTATTCCTTAAAAATATTTGGCCACCATTTTTTTTCGTAAGGAAGTACAGAATTAACCTTCATTGCAGTACTAAGTCTTACCCATTTCTGAATTTTTTGACGACAAAAAGTGCCCGATGAAGATAGCTACTACATTCTACCAGCGAATAAAGAATCTCTCACAACATGGTTACCATTTTTTCTTATAGATGTCGTTAGCTGACATACAATCATGTTCGAAAACCTTATAATGTTCTAAAATATCAATGCAAAATGTTTGGAATACAAACAAATAGGCTTTATTTTGAAGTCTTTTCGGGCGAAGTTTTAAAACGAAATTATTGAATATTTACGGGAATATGTTGATTATGTGCTGCTGTCTCATACAAGTAACGCCAGTGGAAG